TCCAATTCTAGTTGAATAATCAAGTAGCTACTAAATTTTCCAGATGTGACACATATTGCGCACTTCAGACAAATGCGTTGCTAAGGCGTTGCTAAGGACTCTTTCGCATGTTTTGCTGCGTGGTTTGTGTTTTTGTTATGAAGTGAGGGGAGTGAGATGGACAGGCTGTTTGATATTTTTTCTGGTTTTCTAGGACCGTCGCAATTATTTAACTTGGCATACTTTTCTTGCTTTTTTATCCGAGGCTTTTTCAATAATTGGTAGATTCTATCGTGGAAATAAAAGGGCCAGCAGGCCACAGGGGTAAATGCAAGTCGACTGATAGTGAAATAAAAGGTAGAAGTGTCTGTTCCATTATAAATTTAATGTGATATGCTGGAACATGAAGCAACAGGATCAGACGCAAGAACCACAAATGAAGAGCCCAGAACCAGCAAGCGCCATGCCATCAAGAGCAGCCATGATAACGTTTGGTTAGCTTTCAGAAAACCTTGAAACTATACGCCAGACGGTGAGCAATCAAGAGATCTTACAAGACCAGTAGTTACTTGAAAACGAGAGCCGCCAGGAAAATCAGCAGATTCTTCAATGGCAACACATTTCAACATCTATCTAGCAATGATTTGCACCAGCGAGGTGGCTATCATTGTGTTTTGTGTCTGTATCCCTAACTGCTCAAAAATATTTGTCAATAAATAAACAAACAAATAATGCGTCTTTTTCTACTGAAAGTAAGTTCTCCAAGTGGCAAGGGATGAATAATAGCAGGTACCTAATTAATTGCCATCTATTCATTCAATTCATAAATCATAGGCAATTTAGGGCATCGATCGGCAGCGCCCTTACTGCATGGTACTGCGGATCGTCCATGGATTTCTTGATGACTCCGACTCTGACTCAGACTTTCAAAAATAAACTCTGACTTTGATTTCAAATGTCGGCTCTGACCGACTCCGACTCCACAGCCCTAGCAGGTCTGCAGAGGCAATGAATTTTTGGTGACTCCGACTCCGACTCTGGCTTTCAAAATCGACTCTGACTCTGACTCTGGTCAGAACTGTCGACTCCGACCGACTACAACTCCGACTACGGAACCCTGAAAGGTCTGCGGAGGGGATCGAATTTCGGTGACTGACTCAGACTCCAGCTTTTAAAATCGACTCTGACTCCGACTCGACGACTCAGGTCAGAACTGTCAACTCCGACCGACTTCATGACTCCGACTCCGGAGCCCTACTGGCAGCTATCACGCCAGGGAGCTGCAAATCATATGTTCCGTGGCGGTTTATGGCATTAAAGTCGATAATGCGGCTGAATCGCACTATGAAACACCCTTATTGGCTGCAAGAGCCACGAAAGTTAGCGCATCACCACTGGAAAACGTGACAAGATATCGATTAATTGGCCCTGGATTTGGATAAATAACATGTTGATGATCATATCAGCACACATTTACATTATCATCTATCTCAAGGTTGCCCTCCAGGCGGCTCTAAACTATGGCAATTTCCCTATCTTCAACATGTAAATGCCCTCGGGCGTCCTCGTGGTGACGTAGGCATGGGAGTGCCAGGTTGGTAGGAACTAGACTTCGACGCCCCCTGGTTTTCGGCCGTTGGTCTCCGAGAGCGGATGTGAGCAGTGTCGGTGCCGCGCGGCGTGGCCGTTGGTGATTGTGCTTGTGTGTTGTTCATCGCCTATAGAGCCTCTGTGGACATTTTATGTAAGTACCGATGTGCTAGAGCATTGCGTGCCGTTGAGTGGTGCTAATTTGACCTGGTTAACAGGACCCCGTGCACGGCCACGTGGCCTAGTGTTGTGAGTACGTACATTAATTTTGTTGTGATGCTACAAGTTTATGCATTTTGTTGGTGACTTTGAAAAAGCCTTGCACTGTAGTGATCCAGTCTCATTATCTCACGCAGACGGGCGACCACCCAGGAACGCCGTCGCTCACTTCAAATATTGTGCGCTCTGCCTAATCCAATATGAGGGCGCTGAATGTCTTGTATTCATATTCAAATTGCATTCAAGTTGTATCGTGGTGTTTATTTACCGCTTGTGCATTGCTGAACGCTTTGTATAAATTTGTATGAATAAGTGAAGAGTCTCACAATGTTCATGGTTGGTGTGCCCCTCGTATTGTTTGTACGGAAGCCAAATATACCTACATTGTTGCTCTTGAAACATTTTGTTTTTAGTTGGTGAGCTCCGGTTAACAGAAGCTTCGTAAAGCTTCTGAAGGAAGCGTCTGTGGGTCTGTTACCATCCTCTGGGGGGTTTACACTAAAGGAAAGAGTAAACATTACCATGTGACAAAGGGTAGGTCATAAGAATATACTCTCTGTAGGAGGGTAAAGCACAGAGTAGATGATGCGTTAAGCTCCCTAAAAAAGGGTTCCGTTAAAGATTTACCCTTTCAAAGAGTGTAACCCAAAAAATGTTACACTCTAGACAAGAGTAAATCAAAAGAGTTTACCATTCAGAAGATGGTAAAAAACGTCTGTGTGTCATGTTACCCCTCCCTGGCGAGTTTACTGTTCATGAAAGAGTAAAATTTACCATCTGGAAGGTGGTAAAAAACGTCTGTGTGTCAAGCTACCATGCTATGGCGGGTTTACCCTTCAGGAAATGGTAAAAAAGTTTTCAGTGCTATTATATGCCAGTGACATAGCTAATAAATTCCTAATTGGTGGTGTGGATAGCCCAACAATGCCGCGTGAACCGTCAATGAGCTGGTTCTAATAATTTCACTAGTAGAAAACAAAATGAGCTGCAGCCTTTTGCCGGCAAGTTGATCGTCTCTGGTTCAGCTTCCGGCGTAGTTCGCTTCATCCATCCGTCTCAGACACCTCCTACCCCGCCTCTCCGGCGACCTCTCCTGTCTGTCTGTGACCTCTTGTCAAGTCACCCAGGACGACGCTCCGCCCCTGTAGATGTCTCAGCCGGTGTCACTGCCAAGACGGTACGTTTTTCGGACCGTTTCCTGCCGCGCTGCTCCGTCACATATACAAGTATCGCTGGCAGACAGGTATCCATAAAAACGGGCACAACGCGACACCGCGTCTCAGATCGATCATAGAGCAGAGACGGCAGCGACGGCAGTCGACGCGAGAAAAAACCGTCGAGGAACGCCCTCGACACAGAGGCGGCGCATGACGGATTCGCGTGACGCTGTATCATGACGCGACGGCCGGGAGGCGACACACCGAGCCGCCCGCTGTCACTCGATGATGGAGCGCCGGGTCACGTGGCACGTCGTGTGACGTCACGTGACACAGTGACGCCAGATGACGTCAGGTGACGTCAAATTGTGTTATATATCATTATGGGAACGAGCCGTAGCCACTGCAGACCTACGGTACGACGTCAGGTAGCACCAGGCTATCTGCCGAATTATGTCATAGACCGCACGCCAGAAAACGATGCGCAAAGCCAAGAACAAAACGCAAGATAGGATCATTGACAAAACGTATGGCGTCAGATGACGACAGACTGCGTCAGACGCTCAGTGAAGCGTGGCGGTAAGCAGTGTACCTGAAACGTGCACGCGTGAATCAGTTTGAATGACGCCGGCGCCCACTGAACGGGGTGTTCGGTGGGCGCCGGCGTCACCCCTGCTCGGCGGTCGGCCGCGCGGGGCCCGGAGACATCTGAATAGCTCGGCTGGCCTTGGCCGTTCCCAGTCCACTCGGAGACGAATACAGCCGGCGACAAAAGCCATCAGCCAGCTGTTGCAGCACTGCGGCACTGGCTGCCGGGGCGGCGGTTATTGGTTCCGCCGCCCAGCGCCGGCCCGCCGGCCGACCGAATTCATGCTGGGATTGCGCCGGGCTCCCTGCGTCGGCAATCGGGAGCGTTTCTATTCAGAGATGCATGGTGCATGTATGGGAGCGCGCTTCGTCAGACAGACGCCACATTCCCCAAGTGTCACAGGTGATTGGGAAATATGAAACAGATGAAAATCAAGCGAAATGAGAGGAAAACGAAAATGTTAGCAAACAAAATATCTGAACTGTATTTCGCAAGACGCTCATTTGCAGAGTTTAAACCCACATGACTATATGTAACTTTGCTCGAAGGCACGTTGTACCGTCGCAAAATGAATTCCATCATTTCGAGTTGTTGGAAACAATCAACTGCTTGAGCTATTTTCATACCCAATCCCTTAAGTGTTTTCCTGATTAAGACATCATTCGGCACTTTTTATTGACTATATAAAGCGCTGCAAAGCCGACGTGTGCAGGTGTTTCACAATACGAGTCATCGCGAAACATAAAACAAGTTGAGGAGGTCACAAAGCGCTGCGTCTTTCACCACCGTTTGTCGGCAGCTACGTTTGATTGTTACGACGGACATCAGGCGTTTTCAGCACGATAGTCGCACAGTGAACTTGAATTAGTGCGTAGTAGTAAGACAGAGTGATTCCGAAGAATTTTCTCATATTGTTTTTAATGGTTCATTCGCTGAACCTGTTTCACCTGCTAACAGTGCCACAACTTCGTCCTATAAAGTCTTCGCATTTCGCTTTCATAGAATTGTAGTGGCATCCTTCAGCTCTACATTAGCTTTATACTCGTCCTCTCAGCTGCATGCATTTTCAAAGCATCTACGCTTTTTGCGCTGATGAAAATAGGCATGCATGTCGGCCCGCAAAAAATAATAATGCGAGCATGGGGCTGTAGACAAATTTTGCTATAGCCACGGAGGCGGCATGGAAAGTTTCGTGCTGGAGCTTATCATTAAAAATATTCCTGAAATCGTGCATAACCTCTTGGAAACGACACGTTTAATAAATACTGGCACACAAGACGGCTATTAGTGACATCCCGCATATTGTAAAAATACAACCGGGTTGCTGTGCTTGCCGTGCTAAAACGTACACAAGTAAAGCTTTTGAATCCGCCAAACAAACTGACGACTGATAAATGCGGACATTTGATAGTGACATGAATTTTTCAGGCTCTCTTCACATAGGAGTGGGGAAGGAGCGGGCTTACCTTGACCGTTGTCAGCTGTCCGGAGACGGGGTCGATGGCGAAAAACGACTCTGGCGAGCTGGGACTGTTGACCAGCGAGTAGACCAGCTCGGCGTTCTGGCCCTTGTCCGCGTCCGTGGCCTCCAGCTGCCGGCAAAACGGACACGGGTTGGGAGAGTTAGCTATACATGGCGGTAGATGCTTGCTCAGAATCATGGTTGATTGACATGCTTGATTGACACATGTTGACTAACAAAGGTCAGTTCGTAGCATATTCATAACAGTTTATGCCATGAACAGTGAACACTTGTGCAATAGCTAAAAAACGAGTTGCAGATAAGATACACAAACAAAATTGAAGTATCATACTCGTAGGTAATGCATACTGAAAGTACAATACATGTACAGAAAGTAGGTACAGTATGATCCTATATTGAGTCATTTACTTAGCGCCCAACGAGTTGTCATCATACACAGTTCAAGCCAAATGGACGCTGTACACAATGCAATATCATCCTGACTGACAGCACATTTGCTGGTGTGCTGACTCTTATTTGTGTTTTGTCAATGGAGCAAAAACGAACGGTAACTGACAAAGAAATCGTCAATATAGCATGAGCGCTCACCCTTCCATTAGCCAATGGAATATTATGTGGCGCTTTTTGCGTCAGTCACGACACAATGACATTTGTTGTAGTTGTAGGCATGCATTATCGTGTCGACTGATCATGTCTCTGAAAGTCCCTATGTCCTGATTCCAGTAACGCACATTGCAGCTTTAGCTACGTAGAAACACTTTGATTCTCGTGGACCCAACGGGGTGTACGTAAAAGGTGCACCATTGGAAAGTGACAAAGACATTTATCCGTCCAGTGTTATATAGGAAGCCCGCTAAATGACCGATATTGTCCGCAAGGTCATTTCGTTGCGGCCACTTTCCATTTTGGTGGAAAAGTGCTGAAGACCTACCGACAGTGATTTGGTGGAAACGGGCCGTCACCCCCCCCCCCCCGCCCCGACGATGTCGGTCACGCCACACACTAATCACCGGGGGGGGGGGCATGGGGCGACTAACCCTACCCTGACCGCCCACCCGCCGCGCAGCCGAGCTGTATGTACTTATACTACCTACTGCGTGACTTTCCTGCAATGTGTCTCCGCAACAAACCGAATGGCCGCTACAATCAGGTTATTTTATATACATGATCCCAGCGGGATTCGACGCTAAATGCGCTGAACTAAATATATGTACAGCTAAATATGAGCTGGCCGTTCGCCACTTATGATAAGGCATCATAAGCAGTCAAACAAATATAAGGCCGCGACCTGCAGTGCATCATGTGTGTATGTATCAGAGGCAATGAAATTCATCCCTTTACAATTGAACATACATGGTCCATGGACGAATTCTTCAACTGCGTAAAATGCATCGTTTAATTGGCATGCCTAACGACGACCCGACGCGACGCCTCCTTGGTGGGCGATTCGGCTAGTCCATGAGCTCCAGACAGGCGGAAGAAGTCATCTTTTGAAGTTTCCAAGAGCGGGACCCGCTATGACAGGTGGCAGAAGTCATCCAGTTAAGTCGGCTCAGGACCGGGAAACTCCCGGGACTCTTGCTAACCAGCGCGACCTCGCACGGCCCACGGCTAGCGATGGATTCATTACTGTAACACCGGGCTTCAGAAGCGCAGTAAAGTGACGCCCGGCCCCTGAGGATGACCAGATGTTTGAGTGGACGTGTCTGCAGAATATAGAGACGCCGGCGGCGCTCACAAGGCTCGCCGGTTCCCCGGTGGCAGGTCACGCAACGGCACCTGCATGTAGTGTGAGCAGCCTGCCACGAGGGTCATCAAAGAGAACCGCTTGAGGAGTGGTTCTTGATTAGACGAGAAAATATAGTGTCAGGGAGAGAAAGAATGCGGGAGATCCGTTAACAATGGTATAAAGGTGATGCATGATGAAAGAATGTAAAAGCAGGAATTTAAGACAACAAAAGACATCGATAAGACTTTTAAGCTATTGAAATATTTCCGTAAAAGAAGTCGTGCTTATCGATCACATCGGTTACGTAAAAAGCGAGAGGATGCCTGAAGAAAGTAACGTTAAGGGAGCCGGCGAATGCCCGGCGCGGAGGTGTCGGGGCCAGCGGGCGGCCGGCGCGGGGCGACATGCCGCGCACAAGTCCCCCGGGTCACCGGCGACGCTCGGGCTATCACAGCGCTGTCAGGACCCGCTCAATGCGATCGCCGGCCGATTAATTATTCGTTCGCCGGCGACATGCGGCCCGATCGAACGCAGCGTCGGAACGAACACCCCTGACGACCCTCCTCCCCGGGGCCCCTCCCACAGGTGCGCGCACACCTGCGTGTCAAACCGACCTCACCCTCCCCACTCGGCGCACGGCGGCTCAGAGCCACTTGTCACTGAATTACATGCAGCTTTGGCACCAGCTAGAGATAGTGCGACAGAAAACCTGGCGGCGTGGAAACGCAGGACGCCGCCACGGTCTGAATGCAGAGAGACGTTGCTCTCTCCATCACGGTGAATCGTCTGAGGTCCGTGCAGATGAGTTGATTAGCGGACTTACCCTGAGAACGGCAGTGCCAACTCCCTTGTTCTCCTCGACTTCGGGACGGTACTGGGCGCACAGTGGAAACACAGGCCGGTTGTTGTTCACATCTGTGGACAGAAGTGGGTGAACAAGGTCAGATGCGGTCTCAAGGAGTTAATCTTGCTCACAGTCACCCATTTCCGTAACACAATTAAAACATTCCATCAAACATTTCTTCTCCTAGCCCTGGAACACTACGGAAAACACAATCGGCAACTCCGATATGCGCTGGGCAACACACTTCTCTATATATAGAGAAGTCTGTGGCTGGGTGGGTTAGCGATACATAATATGATTTCTCTTTTGGCTATGTCACGTCGCTTTAATTTATTCCGTATCAAGGGGCATCCATCCAATTAATCCTCATGAGCGGCACAGACCAGCATCTATGTAGAAATGAACGACCCTGTTCAGTCTGGGGAGGAATGGTAAGACACGAGGATAAACGGAAAAAGGTACGGCTGGACCCAGACAGCACGGTAGAGCGAGCGAGGCCAGGCGGTATATGAGGTTGGTGTGCGGCTCTCCATCTCCGCTCCGGGCCAATGAGTGCCAGAGACCAGAGTGATGGTACCGGCTGGGACAATCCTGTGCCCTGCCTTCCACGCTGATCACCGCCTCTCTGCAACCACCGCCGCCGCTGCCGCCCTTGTTTGTATGTAAGGCGTCGTTTCGACCCGAGTTCGACGCCGGACGATGCAGCGTCGAGTGGTTGGCTGCTGCCGCGGAGCAAGCGGCAGGGACGAATTTCCGGTGGCGATGGTTGGCCGGCGATCCGCCAAAGTTACAGACGCTCAGAAGACGTCTACAACAGGTGGGTGAGTGCAGAAGCGCGGACCGGCGGCGCGGCGCCGACTGGAGAGAGATGAGCGCTCGGAGTTGGATGGACGCCGCCCGAAGAACGGCGCCGCACGTCCCGGCCCAATGGCCAAACTTGGTCGGCAGGCGGGCAGCCGAGTTTTTTCTTGTTCCGAGAGAGAAGACGGCGGCTGTATTATTCAGCGATCACTGTTCGTGTGGCGAAGAGCGAGTCGGCCGCGCTCGGAACAAATGGCACTCAGTTTGATTGTCGGAGCTGCCCGTGCTTTTACGCCGCTCGGGTTCGGCACACCACCACCGGTCGCCATCGGTGGCCATCGCTCGCCATCGGTGGCCATCGCTCGCCATCGGTGGCCATCGCTCGCCATCGGTGTCCACCGGTGCCCCGCTCCGGACCACCGGCGCCGACCACACCCACCGCCGCCCGAATTTCACCTGCCGATCGGTGCGCTGACAAAAACACTGCTCGCTCGGCCGAAACCACACAGAGCGATGATACCCTGAGAACGCGCCCGGGGGCCAAAGTAGGCCGCGCGCTGCTCTGTTTTGTTCCCCGCCGCCAGACAGCCGTCGAAAGGCAGCGCGCACCGTATGCAAAACACGCACCCGGCCATGCATTTGGTGCGCGGCCGCAGCGCCGATGATGGCATTCGGTGTCCCCGAGGCGGACGGATCCGGGCAAAACCAACAGACCTCGGCAAATAATGCCCAACATAGATATTCCGAATGGGACGCTATAGTGCCAGCAGAAGCACGACGCCAGTTCCAACAGAGTACGACGGTGTTTGAACAAACAAAACATTTAGGAAATGAAATCAAAAATAAAAGAGCGGTAGCCATTGGAGTACCAGCCAATATGAGAGTTTATAATACCGCTATAGATCAATAGGGTAGACCGGGGCAAGTCGCCCCGCCGAGGTAAAACGCCTCACCGATGTTTCTCGGAATTGGCAGGGTTCTGGGGAAACATCATCTCTTCTATAAAACGTGCACTATATGATCATTATATTTAGCATATGCCGAAGTATGCCTTTAGCATTAGCGCGAGCGTGCGGTAAAAGCTTTTTGGATTAAACCCACGGTCATAGATTAAACCGCATAATGTTGAAGGCAATTGGACAAAGGTTTTGCCCATGGGCAAAACATTTTATCAGCGAACTTTTGAAGCATTTCCTGAGACGGAGGAAGGCGCTGGAAAAGAGCTTAACTGATAGAAATCTAACGTGAACTTACGTGTTGCATTTGGTCGCTTTGAACTATTGAACAGATTGCAAATGTTGGTTTTCAATAACATTATATTTTAAATCCTAATGTATATACAGACATATTAGTTAATCACCTACATTTATGGCGTCAATTTCATGCCTTTTACAACTGCAATGAATTGACAAAAAACGCATTTCACATTGATCAGTAAAAACTTTATTCATACTGACATGGGTAAAAAACCAAGCGCTCACTTCACAGGATGGTATACCTTCCACTCTTCTCTAACATTGAAAACGAACGTTACTATAGCTTCTCATATGACATATGAAATAGATGTTCTTGGTTTGATATGAATCCAACTCAGAGCCAGACACAAGGATGGAACACAGTGATCTTGAGTCGGCTTGGTTTATTATCTTAAGGTCAGGGAATATGTACATTTTTTAGTTCTTGATATTCGTTCTTGTTTTTTTTTCACTTCTTTCAAGCATGTACAATTGTTAAAGAAGCTTAAAGGTAGTGTGCCACCTTTGAAAGATTTCCCATTTTATTTTTCCTAGGATAAGAAGCTTCTGTTTTTACCTAATATCGCAAAAAAAAATCAAAAATGGGCCTGGAATAGTGCCTTTTTCGCCTAAAAGTTTTTCGGTTTTTAGATATGTATAACAACTGTAGTGGGCTCACCTGCAAACAGGCGTCGGGCAACAATCGCGAATGCGGCGCACTTGTGACAATAAGCAAAGGTCATTATAGTGTTACGACCATACGACGTACGGGAATGAGTTATCAGCTGTCTAATCGTAGACAACACAATGTCGAGCCTTAAACTGTAAGCCCGTATTGGTATTGTTTCTTTTATTTGGCTGTCGAACATTATTTATGGTTTGAAATATGATTTTATGTAAAATAATTGATATGAAAAAGCCGTCTTATAAGTTATGACCCCATTTCACCACACGCAAGTGGCAGAACTGACAATGATCAGCTGACGCATTTTTCTTGGCCGAAGTCAGAGCGCGCGGCCCGACGCACCACGCGTATTTGGAAATTCCGACCTCGACGAGCATCAGAAGCCACCTAACAGGCGTGTTCGAAACCGCAGGAGATGATGATGAACGGGTTTATCGAAACTTGATTGGATGAGCATATCGGTAATAGCGATTTCAGTGTGTGCATTTATTGTTCATAGTGGTGTGAAATGTGGTTGGGGTACGACCGACAACCCGTCGGGGCGAATTTCGCACTGGGGTACTCAAAATTTGAAGAATTTAAGACGTTTCCATGAGTTTTGAAGGTATGGATAAGTTCTAAAAATCCGGTTCTCCTTATCTGGTCCATTAACTCCATACGGTCCAAGAAAGCTGGCACACTACCTTTAAATATGGAAATTAAACGGCATATGCTAAAATAAATATCACACTTGGGCCGGAATCAGCCGGAATGTTTCATTCGACCTCGGGCTTTGTTGAATTTTCCGCCCTCGACCTTCGGTCTCGTGCGGAAAACTCAACAAATCCCTCGGTCCTGAATGAAACATTTTACCGGCCCCGTGTGATATTATATAGAGCAGACTGGAAAGAAATTGTGATGACTCTTTCGGGAGATATAGCCAAAAATGTGTTTTTTGAGTGATTTTTATGTTTTGTTGTCAGATTATGAATCATGGCGTTCTTTTATGGTCCACATTAGGTTAACGACTTTTATGTATTTTGAACAACTATTGTCTAACGCTTATCATGCCGGGTTGGTTCGTGTTAAATTATGTCTTACTGGAGTGCAAGGCGTTGTTCTCTGACCGAACTACGTGATGGGGTAAAACGCCCCAGTAGGTCGCGGGGCAAAAAGCCCCTGGGGCGTTTTACCTCTTGTGTTGTTGGGGCTACCCACTTTCTAATGTTCGGTAGCTGGCGAACAGTAAGTTTCTGTGCCTCTATGTGTATTTTTTTCAGCAACTGGATGGCAAAGGAAGTATTTTATTAACATTTGCATTGCAATAATTTATTATTTGGTCTTATGAGGTAGGTGAAAAACCTGCTCATACAACAGTGTCATATGCTGAGCACCTGACAGGATGGAATGTGCTAACTTCAGTGCCGTGCCTCCAGAGGTCTAACGGACCTCTCACATAAGATTTAGCCAACTACCATGTTAAATCTTTAATCTAAGGTATGGGGCTACTTGCCCCAGGCCGTGGGGCGTTTTGCCCTGGGGTTGGGGCAAAATGCCCCATTTGCAGTTGCTTCACAAATCACTTCCTAGCTTGGAGTCCGATCATAAGTGAATCAATTTGAGGGGTGCAATTTAAAGTAAAATGTCCAAAGAACGCATTGAGCACAAATTTGGCCTTTCAGGTGATGTGGGACAAAATTTATGTAGCAAAATAAATTATCTGGGGCGTCTTGCCCCAGGCTACCCTATACAAATTTCAGAATTAAGTAAAAAAAAAATTGAAGATATGACATTAATTGTCTATTTAAAAATCACAAATGCCTATTGGAAATCACTTGCTAAAAATTTAACTTGTGATTAATCATTTGTAGTTGCATTTGTGGGTACTGTTAAAATTAAGTTCAACAAATGAAGCTAATCTGAATAGTTTTCTCGCAATGTAAGTCTAGTAATGCAAGGCAAACATTTCTTACTTGACAAGCTCTCATTACAGCAAGCCCCTTTATTTAATCAATATCTAACCATAATGTTTTCCGCCACCTTTTTACATGTTTCAGTGGCAGCATGACATTCAGCGCGGCCCCGGGCGTCGTTTGTTTCTGTTCCCCTGGTACGGCGTAGCCCACCCTGCAGCACCGCCCTTCCCCTAATATAGGAATTAGGATCACCCAGGAGGCATACGCCGATAATGCTAAAACAACACCCAGCGTGCAATGATGGCCGGATATATCCACAACGTCTAGAGATGGCCTCATACCTTGACCTCTGACCAGGGAACAGCGAACATTCCCAGAGGTCAGAGGTCACCCGTGTGCACTGACCTATGACGTGCACGTGCACGGTAGCGGTGTCGTTGAGATTGTGCGTATCGCGGGCCACCACTGTGAACGTGAAGTTCTCCTCCGAGTGCTGCGCCAGCGGGCTGGCCGGCCCCACCAGACGGATCACGCCCGTCTGACGGTTGATGCTGAACTGTGGGTCACACAGAGACGAGGCGGGGTCAGCGGGGGAGTGGGTCTCATACAGGGCTCAGTGCTCACACACTCAGCTGGGGTGGCACGTGCCGCCCCACCACCGGCGGTCGATGATGGCCGCTCGCTCATCGTTTCTGTGAAATTGCCGTTGACAGTGGGTAATGGCCGTGGCGGTCGGGCGCCGGTTAGACCGACCGACCGTACAGTGACCAGGTAGGCCGCCTCACTGCGGCCGGCTGTGACACTGCAGAGTGCCACCGTCACCCGACCCGTGGGCCCAATCAGACAGCACGCGCTCTACATGGCTGATGGCCGTAAATACTGCAGCGAGCCCGTGAAAAATGCAGACCAATTTTCACAGCAGTGCTGACCAGAATGGCGCTGCCAATGGCTCGCCGTCACCGGCAGGCACTGGTCAAGAATGCGAGCGGCACCGGTCAAAGGTCACACGGGAGTCGCTCACTGACCGCCTGGGGGCCGCCGGTGGCGACATTATGTCACCCGTGGGGATAGACAGCCGTCCATGCAAGGCAACTCCAGTGTCAGGTCAGTTATTTGTGCAGTATTTATCACTTCCGAACTACCATACCATTGTGTTAGTCTGATTCAGACAAACATAAAAATGAGTTACAGCTTACAGAAATGTAAGCATGCAAACCATAAATTCCTACGTCATTCACCGCCGAAATGGAACTCGCTCGAGCAGCCTCTAGAATGAAGATTGAATGGTGTAAATGCGCATGTCTGTTCTATACTGGCAGTCAGTACAGACGGCGCCTGCCGAACATTACGTGTTATTTGTGAGCCAATTCATGAATCAAAAATGAGGAGCAAAGATATGAAGTAGCTTCAGTTGTATAGCAGTATCCACATTTGAGGAACGCGTCTGTTTTATGTGTTGCCCAAGGCATTATTGAAAATGGCAAACAAAGTTAAAGCGCACACAAGCCGTGGAAGGCATGTGAAAGGTCTAAAAAGTCATATGGGGCAAAGCCATCATAATAATTAAATATTTAGGGAAATGCTAAAACTAATTAGATATGTAAGCCAAAATATGCAATGAAAAAGTTTTTAAATAATGTCGTCAGCCCGGTCAGTAATGCCTATAGGTAGATATAATTCTACCTTTCCCTGTGCCGCAAGTATCCATCAGTTGTAGGTAGGTACTAACGACGTTGACCAAATGGTTTCGTGAGCAATCAAGGGCCATCATCATGAAACAATGGCATTCCTCCGCAAAACAATGCCAATAATTGATCAAAGACGGGAGTAAAAACACAAACTGAAATCATCTCCTATATCGTTTTTGTCTCGCCAAATAACAGGGCATTGACACATGACGAGAGAGCGATTAAACATATTCCTATTGCGCCGTGCTGCAAAAACAATCCGGCATTCCGAGATGAGCATCTCACGTCTGAAAGCAATCACACGTCGGAGAAAATAAATCTCAAATAGGACGGCGAGTCATCAGCAGGGGATCGGCTCATCGGGCTGCTTCAGCCGTGCGCTGATTTTGCCGGTGAAAAATGGTGGTAATGCGGCGCGGAGCCGTTCTGCGACGTTCGCGGCGCGCCGTGATGGCTCAATCGCCGCCGCCGCCGATCGGATCACGGGCCGGCCGCCTGGGTTCGACCGGAGCCGCCGAAATAGCGCCGGTAATTACGTGTCGCGGGTTAATCACCATGCGAGCCGGCGCTGCAGATGAATGGGTCAGTTCTCGGCTCATCAGCGCGGCCGTCCGGGATGCCGGCGGCGGCAGTTCTTCACAGCTAATAAAGACGCCGAAAGGCGCTCCTCCTAATGGTCACGAAATGTATTGCACGAAGCAATATCAGCGACCGCGGCGCATCATCCGTTCGTGTGTTAATGCCGCGACGGTGATCCATCACTTAGGTGGAATCCGACCCGTGACCGAGCGAGATTGGCCGTCGGCGCCTGTGGGACTCTGCCGGCCGGCAACGCACCAACACACTGCAGGCGGGAGCTGAGCGCTCTATAGGCAGGAATGCGGCGAGTGCCTATTGCGTCCAGTGCGCAGATAGACGGGAGCTGAGCGCTCAATAGACAGGAATGCAGTGCGACTTTCGGCACACTTCGCGCCCCGTTCAAAAAGCCAGATGTCTAGTGCGTCAATATAGGCCAATGCCTTCCTCTAGACGGACCATCTCTAATCTCTAGGCATCTACCCGGTTATATCAACAACCAGGCGACGTACCAGCCCGCTCTCCAGCCAAAGCTCACCATTTTGTAGACTTCTGCGTCCTGCGTGCTGCCAGGGGCGCGGATGAAGTAGCTGATGGGATCCGTGTCGGGATCCTGGGCCACCACGGCGCTCACCAGCGACCCTGTCGAGAGGAGGCACTCGTCAGTTCACATCTACAGGTGAGGCAGACTTGCTGGAGGCATGGAGGGATGCTGGAGGCATGTTAAATCACATCAAATATCTACAGCACCCGTAGGTAACAAGTGGGCTACATTCCTAAGTTAGAATAACAGTGGCAGCAAGAAATGGTATTTAATTAGAGGCTGCTCCTCTTTATCATACTGAAAAAAACTGTACCCATTGGAGAGAAACACCTCGGAATAATTATTTCCCTATGATAAAGGCATTGCGGCGCCAATTGAACCAAAAGTCCTGTGACGGTTGAATAATGTAATTTGGTACGTCCAAATACGTCCATTGATTGCACAGGGATTTGACAGTTTTCACCGCGTGTAACTGCACACTGTTCAAACCAGACTAAGCGTCTTAGCATCCAGCGATGGCCACCGCCGATTACATACTGGTCCTAGGGAGTGTAACGGAATTACGTCCAATTACGCTGTGTCAGCCCCATGGGACGGGCGGTGCACGGCTGGCAGCCGCGAGGGGCGGGGCGGGGGAGGGCGCGCCACTAACTTCGGTGATCCCACACCTGCAGGTCAATCCACAAATGGGATGGGCATCAATGACGCACACCTCACATGTTAGTGACCACCGTCAACGCAGGACGCACTGTGCAAATAAACCCAGCTTGATATAATGAGGTGGCAGCTGTTAAGTAGCATGCTAATACAACAGTAAATCATCAGGCCGATTACGAACAGCGCGCCCGGCAATAAGACATGACACATAGCTAATGAAGAGCAAGCGAAGCGTTACATAAACGGCACACGTCAGTTGAAATACTAATCTGAAATACAATTTTGCAAATCCCCATTTAATCTTTCCGCTCGATTCATCATCTGCTCGGCCTGTTAACCGGTCATCAATTTCGGTGTCAAGGTCAGGCGGTGGGCGCCGGCGATGTGATATATTACACTTACAGGACATTCGGCGACTAGGCTCCGACGGGTGCGGACGTGTTCTGCCACGGTCCGCATTAGTTAGGTTGCTCCGATCCGAATTGTGCGCTGGTTGGTTTGTTTCAGACAACAGACCGGTGCATTTCCCTCCCTTCTCCGTCATCTTGTTTTATTCAAGTCTATATTTCACTTTGTCTTCTAAATTATAACATTAATATTCACATTCTCGTTCTCCCTCCATCGGTTTCCGGCTCCACTCCATTCCTCGTCGGTTGCGGCCGGCCGCGGTGATTGGCCGACGCCGGTCACGTGATCGTGACGTCAGCCCGCCGGCCAGCGGCGTTCGCGCGGTTTCTTGGCGCGGTTTGTTGGCGCGCTTTTTTCTAACCGCAGGCGCGCGTGGGCACATCTTCGCGGGTAATTCCAGTTCTGTTTTGGCCGTAATAATTTGTCAAGCCCTCTATTTTTGCCACTGAATTTGATCATTCTAATTTCTGTTTCTAAGAAAACAAGGATGGCACCCACGCTGTCTCGCCCCCGCCCACCTCTTGTCCTCCCTCTCATGGGCCCCTATCCATCTGAGCCTACCCCCGAACCCTTCCCTGACCCGATGATGGACCAAGTTCCAGAGGGCCAGTCCTTCATCCATTTGACTCCGGATGGCTCGTTCCGCCGCCTCTCCCCATTTAAATTGCAGAGGGAGATGGACCTACTAATCGGCCCGCGCGTAAACGCAAAAGTGATCCGGTCAGGCAACATATTGATCCGGGTTTTTAACAAGGACCAGGCTCGACTCGCCCTGAGCATCACCACCTTCTGTGGCACGGCCGTTACGGCCGCCCCGGCTACCCGCCTAAACACCGTGGCGGGCACTTGCTACTCCCCAGCACTCCAGTACATCGAGGAGGCCGAGATTCAGGCGGAGCTCCGCTCACAAGGAGTAGTAGAGGTGACGCGCCTCCGATCTAAGGGGCCTAACCCAAGCCCGCTGCTTAAGCTGAGGTTCCTTGGCCTCGAGTGTCCCCCTGCCGTGTACGCCGGCTACGAGGTCCTGACTGTGAGCCCGTGGGAGGTGAACCCGCGACTCTGCCGGCGCTGCGGACGTTACGGGCACCTCCAATCGACCTGCCGTTCCAAAAAGGCAAACTGTCTCCGCTGTGCCACACTGGGACACAGTTCGGATGAGTGCCAGAGTGAGGAGGTCCAGTGCGCCCACTGTGGCGGCCCTCATCCCGCCTGGGATAAGAAGTGCCCGGCGTGGCACTACCACAAGGAGAAACTGAACCGGAAGTCGCCCTCCGCCCCTCCACCCCGCCCGGCCGGGCACTCTATCCCGAGCGAGCGTCGATACGCCGACGCCGTCCGGGGGACTAACCCCCGCTGCTCGGGACCTCAGGCTGGACCAGGGCAGCGCTCCGACCCGAATCTGACCCCGCCGCTCAGTACGGCAGTGGAGCTCCCTCGTCCGTCGCACACAGAGTCGACGGAAACTGTCACGGCACCAGTCCCCCAGACTGTCCCCACCCTCGACGAGACGGACACGGTCACAGAGACTCCGAAGGGAGCAGCTCAGCCTCTGGCCGAGGTGCCAACTGAGACCCAGCCAGACCACGTCCACATGACCCCTGCAGCAGAACAAACTGACGCGGTCGCTGTAGCCAAGGCATCTCTCGACGGCTCAGAGTCGGTGACCCCTGTCAAGGAGATGCCCATTGAAACCCCTCAGACTCCGCTTCCCGCAGGCTCCGCGGTCCCAGAGACCCCAGACGTTGCCAGCACGTCTGTTGACTCCGCAGAATCTCTAGATTCTCTTGACCAGGGTTGTGCTCGACTCAAAAAAATTTGCCGACTCGACTCATCATTCAACTTCAGAAAGCCCTGACTCAACTCTGACTCAAACAAGGAGCTGATTTTTTTCCTTGACTCGACTCATGACTCAAGCGGCTCAATGAAAATATGAGTCGACTCAAACTTGACTCAAATTTTTTGTTGAGTCAAGTAAGTTGACTTAAAATTGACTCAGATAAAAAAGTTGTTGAGCGGGGCGGGGGTGAAAAAATTCCGGCAGCAGGGCCAGGGCAAAGTTGTTAAGCGGGGTGTGGGGATGAAAAGCTTGTTTCTAGAAAGTTGAGTCAGCTGACTCATTGTTTGACTCAACTCGATGTCAAAATTATTTTACTGACTCAACTCTGACTCAACTCAACGCCTTAATGTTTTTGTCCGACTCAACTCCGACTCAACTCAACAGTTCAACATTTTATCCGACTCGACTCAAATCTGACTCATTTGAGTCAGAGTTGAGTCAAATTTCTGACTCGACTCATGAGTCAAGCACAACCCTGCTCTTGACTCGCCCAACGATACTGTCATTGAAGCACAGTTCACACAGGAACTTTTCGAAAGCCTCGTCTCCGCCGACCACCCAAAACCCAGGCCCATGTCTTCTCGAGCACCCTCTCCCGCTCGTATTCGAGAAAGGTCTTCATCTCGCTCCAGCTCTCGCTCCATTTCGACGGGAAGACGACTTACTCGTTCGCACGCTTATACCCAAGAACACCAGTAAACAAACACACACACGGTAAATGACTCAATTTTCTGAATTCTTTCTCCAATGGAATACGAACTCGTTGGTATCCCATTGGGGGGAATTCAAGAACTATATGTTAAATAAAAAACCGTTACTAGCCGCCATCCAAGAGACCCATTTTAAAGATTCAGATACATATAATTACAATTTCAACATTCGTGATTTCTCTTTATATACAAATAACGTAAATGAAACCCACCGCCGGGGCGGCTCGGCTCTTTACGTTTCAAATAAACTTTTGCATCATGAAATTTTCCTCCGAACTACGCTTAACGCAGTCGGAGTAAAAGTTAAAATTGCACAACTAGACCTCACTGTCCTTTCGATCTACCTTTCACCTAGCCTCCCACTTTCCTGTCCTCTACTCCAAGACCTTTTCTCCCAACTTTCTCCGCCTTTTATAATCATGGGGGACTTCAATGCACACCACCGCACATGGGGGTGCACAGAAACAAACTCGCGCGGAACACAACTTCTTAACGTAATTAACTCACTCGATTTAATACTCATTAACAATCTCACGCCCACATTCACACGCACACGCAATGGAGAGGTCGTACACTCCGTCCTAGATCTCGCCATTACAGACACAAACACCGCGACACTTTTTACACAACACGTTGAAGATGACTCTCTTTTCAGTGACCACTACCCCATACATTATTTACTCAACGTCCCTTCAGGACAGACAAACTTTAATTTTTTGCCAAGGTGGAACTTTAAGAAGGCCGACTGGGCGTCTTTCCAAAAGTATATTGACGAATCATTGTCTACACCTCCACCAGATATAAACACATTTCTTAACGTCATTCTTGCCGCTGCGCATCAAAACATCCCCCATACTGGCCCCCCAAAAGAACATAGAAGAGCTCCCTGGTGGAATGCAGACTGCCAACGCGCCGTAGCCCTTCGGAAACGCGCACTCCGCCAGTTCCACCGCCGCGTTTGCGAAGCAAATGCGGAAGCCTATCGCAAAGCAAAACATGAAGCCTCTTTGATAATTAACCATGCTAAAACCACCGGCTGGCAAAACTTTTCAAATAACTTTAATCGTTTTACTCCTTTGTCCAAAATTTGGTCACTAATAAAATGTTTCTCGGCAAGACGCAGCAACCCTTACAAAATCCCTCATCTTCACATTAACAACACCCACTACACTATCCCTTCAGACGTTGCAACACTCTTCGCACAGCATTACGCGAACATCTCCTCAGCACAACAATACACACCGCAGCTCACCGAAACACTCGCACACGAACTGTCTACACTGAACTTTCACTCAAGCAACCGTGAACTGTACAACACACCATTTACGAACCACGAACTTACACATGCCATCTCGCGGTGTGGCAACACATCAGTAGGACCGGATCAGATTTCTTACTCCTTTTTCAAAAATTTGACTGAATCCGGTCTCAATACCTTTTTGTCTTGCCTAAACTCTCTATGGGAGAACAACAGCTACCCAGAACC